GGTGATGCTGCCAATGTGGTGGGACCTGTTGCGAAGTGGAGAAATGATTTCTCTCGGGCATTCCAGTACTATCTGGACCGATCCACTCCTCATCCGATGCAGAGGTGGCTTGGAACTCTTGCGGTTGCAGCAATTTATGTGTTGCGTGTTTTCTATGCTCAAGGGTTTTACATTGTGTCTTATGGTCTTGGGATTTATATCCTGAACTTGTTGATTGGGTTTCTGTCACCCAAGGTTGATCCTGAACTTGAAGTTTTGGATGGGGCTTCTTTGCCAACTAAAGGATCGGATGAGTTCAAGCCCTTTATCCGCCGTCTTCCTGAGTTTAAGTTCTGGTAATCAAGATTTTCTTTTGCGGTGTAGTAGATGGTTCTGTTTGTTTGGTATATTAGCTAGTGCTTGGGTCTAATGCCTGAGTAGGTTACGCAATAGATTTTCCAGCATGTTTTTGGTGTTCGTGCTAGTAATAGTTTCCCGTAATATTTATCTGCCAGGCTTTATTTATCCTTACAAGCAGGTGTCATTTTTTTGTCCTGCATGGGTTTTGCTTATGATTGCTTTGTCCATTTTAATCTTGAAGCATAGGATATCAGAAATACTATTTTGATTAAAGAGTAAGAAATTTGGTTGGAGAACACTCAGTGTTACATAGAGATTTAGCACTTTGCATTTTGTTGACCCTATTCATGCCAGTTATAATTTCTGAGGAATATTATTAATGTTTCATGGCGTTGGTGTCATTAATGCCCATGATGTTAACACCTGGAATATGTATAAGATAATAAATTCAAAAGGGTATTAACACGTGGCATGGATGTGGACAATCCATATAGCCTCTGGTGGATTGAAAACCAGTTCGAGCTTGTTGCCAACAAAACACACATTACCATAATTTGTTTGATTATTGCCATCTTTGTTTGGTAGCTGTTTTATACTCTGTAAGAAGCTTTAGTGGCCCTAGATCTTGCAAGTCAGGAAGAAGATACACTTGTCTCGGTCTGATCAAACATCATTAATTCTGACAGAGCCCCATTCTAAGATGTTACTGAATGAACAGAATCCATCTCACACTTTGCACTCTGACCATATCTTATTTCTATGAATTCCAGACCCCAAAAATGAGTTTTTTTTTTTTGGTTCTGCTTTCAGGTACGCCATCACCAAGGCTTTTTGTGTGGCCTTCCTAATGACCTTCTTTTCTATATTTGATGTCCCTGTATTCTGGCCCATATTACTCTGCTATTGGATTGTTCTGTTTGTCCTCACAATGAAGCGCCAAATCATGCACATGATGAAGTACAAATATGTTCCATTCAGCCTAGGAAAGCAGGTAAGAGCTTTGGAGAGTTTTCTTGTAACCACCTCTCTCCTCTCCCTTTTGCCACCATCTTCTATATTCCCTTTCTGTCGTGGTAATTGATGGCTGGTTTTCTTTTCTTTTCTTTTCTGTTTTTTGTTTGAACACACAAATGGAGTTAAAATGCACGTTGGGTGTTTCCATTTCTTTTTCCAGTTAAAATGCAGTAACTCCTTTCCTTTTGTTTTTTTGCAGAGGTATGGCAAGAAGAAGTCTGATGCAAGCAGCAGTGGCTTGATGAGGGACTAAGCTATGACATGTCCTGAAGCCTTCCAGATGTCTTGCTTTTAATATTTTGAAGGTTTTCCTGTCTTCGTCAAGTACCATGCAAAACTCAATAGGATTTGAAAATTTCATTTTGTTTTATATTTTTAGTTGTAGCAGTCACTAGCATGACTTCACAATCACACATTTTCTGCCTTAGCTGGAGATATTCATTTATACATTAGAATTCTTCTAGTATTTTATTTTTTTAGTCTAATGAATCAATCGTGCTTGATGGTGAGCCGCCCTACTTTGTTTAGTATTTGAAGATGCCTGAGCTGTTAGCGTGTGTGAATTGATGTTTGAGCTGTACAATGATTGAGAAAATCCCACTGGTATGATTTTGAACCAATGGCGAGACCTAGTTGGATTCTGTATTCATCTCACTGACTACAGTTTATATGTATGAATCAAAACTCGTTTTCAACTTCAACGCAAATTGTAAAATTTTCAGATTACAATTTTCCACCTTCTTCCTCTCCTGTTCCTTTCACATCCGCTGTCCATTTCGTTTCCTTGGATGTTTTGTGTTCTAAAATGATATTCCATATACATTATTTTTAATTTTGATGTTGCAGAAATCGATTAAATTGTACTGTGTGTTCCTTGCTGTCTCGTGCAGTGACTTGTGTGAATGGATTGTATTTGGATTCAATGTTTCAAGTTTCAACTGTATTTGAATCATGATCATCTTGATTTAATTTGGTTAATAGTATATAATCAGCATGTGTTCGGAATGCTCCAAATTGGTTTTACGTTGAGGTTTTATCGATCCCATAAAAAGCTAGATGTGAACCTAACCCAAAGTACGTCAAGGATCAAACTGGGTCAAGGCTTGTTCAGACTGGAATCCATGTAAACCCAATGCGAAGCCAAATGGTCCACCAAGTTGTCTCTTGTGGTTCATCTGCTGATCTACATTCATGGATTCATCCTGTTGGAGGTCAGATTCTTTGCAGTCTCTCTCCTGGGGACAGCCAGAAGTTTCCTCGGCGAATCACCAATTCTGTCCTCGTGCTGCCCCGAAAACGAGTGTGGGCAACGCTGAATCACAAGGGAGAAATTAGCTAGTGTAGCCATGAATCAGCAAGGAGCCATAGCCGATTTAAGAAAAAAGTTACTCACGACATGATCAATTTGAATAATTGAATACCTCAAGCCATAATCATATTCTCATGTATCACCTGGCTGCTCCATTGCTAGACGGCTAGAATGAGCGGGGGTGAAGGACAAAATACCACAAAAACAGGCTTGGCACGTATGTATTGGCTAGGGCCATGGCAATGATGCCAGATGGAAATGTCCAATCATGTACCAACTTGTATATCAAATCCCCAACAACTGAATAGCAAACGTCTCGAATATGTTTTTTTGATACCAATTGACTTTAAAATTGAAAGACAAATGTATAACAAAGTGGAGCAGTACTTTGCTGAATTTTATATTGACAACGTGTCTCGGACATTGCCAGCTAATTTTAGGCATAGAAACTCTCCCTCTATATCTGCAATAGAACTCTCAAATAATATCAGACTGTACCACTTTTCCCCTACAAATGACTGGGAGGATTTTTCTAGTGATTTTCTTCTTCTGGGCTCTCCTCGCAATTGTCACCCCTACACTTGTTCTCTTATCAGAATCTTCAAGACCTTACTTGGATTTAAATGGTAAGGATTTCTTAACATTTTTATGTTAGGTTGGTTGTTGAGCCTCATTTCTTGACTCTGTAGAACTAATAGTAAGTTGCATGTTTTTCCTTAAGATGTTGCAGTTGAGAAAAAGGGTGGGGTGCTAAAGCCTAGGAGAATGATGGGGTACTTGGAGAAACAACTGAGAATAGAAGAAATAGCTCTGGCATCAATATTGCAGGCACCGACAACAGCTCCAGAACCAGAACCAGTTTCTGGAATTAGAGAGGCTATTTTGACAAGGTTTCTTAAGAAGAGATGAGCCTGGTGATCATCAAACTTGCTCTCATGGCTATGTAGGTTTGATTTCAGATTCTTTGGTTATTTAAACAAGCTCTTTGAAGGCTCTAATCTTGTTCGAATGTCATAAAAAAGATAGTGTAACAGCTGCAGACAGAACTTGTAGATGTATATACCTGTGCTATAGAAACAACTGCGTCAGAAATTTTCTTGTGCTGTGAATGAAGTTTTTGTTAAGGGCAAACAAAACGAGTGGAAATAATTTTGATCCTGATTTTTTTCTTCACTCGGCCATTCATAGGCGACAGCTTTCTTCAGAGCAGAAGAAAAGCTGTCTCTTCAAAATTTGGTTCCAAGGAAGAAGATAAGAATACTATTGTTTAAGTTTTAAGTTTTCAAGAAATTGTCGAATGCCAGGTGCTAGAGAGCCAGTTGTGGATGATCAGCCGAGCAATATTCTGATATCTGAGGATAAAGAAACTTCCTTTCACGTTATTTTTTTCATAAGCAACCTGGCATATTAATGATGCCCAGTCAACAGCACATGACAAACCAATCCCACAATGTTAAGGATCCTTCCTTAATTTGTTAGGTGGATATCAGCATTGTCTGGAACTGTAGTTGGATGGTGAGTTAAGAAACCAAGGCACATCAAACAGTCAAATGGTTAGAAACACACAACCTAGAGGTTAGAGCCCTATCGATCGTTCCTCTACATGGCCTTAGTTCTGCCTGTCCCTTCATCATTCGGCTCTAGGCTGCCATGGGATTTTTTTTTTTAATTGTAATGACCGCAATGGAATTATAAGTCTCTCAAGTAGTGATTATGATAATACTAACCCATTTGGATTGTGATGGGGATCGACCCTTTTTCTTTCCTTTATTGACAAGTTTTCTTGCTACCTATCTAGTGTATTGCTGGTTTAAGTTAAATCATATGTAGTTTTCTATGCCAACCTAATGAGTGTCATCAGTGAGATCATAAAAATTAAGCCAAAGAAATGCAGCCCATGATCCTAGCACGACGTTGATGTCTCAGTTAAGCAGCTTGCTTTTCCATTGCATCCGGTTTTTAGAGTCGAGTAATATGAGCTTGCATACTTGTTCTTGCTGGCATTGGCTGGATATGGAAGTTCTTCCTGAAATTGGAGATCCAGAATGGTTTTCTTTGGTAATCTGTTGGCAATCAACACTCAACATAGCTATTTCTTTACTGTTCATCCTCCTAAACTGAAATGGGAATTCAGCATTCCGAAGGCTGCTACTCGACCATCACAGCTTTAACACCAAAATACTGTTTTCCTTTATTGGTGTCATTTTCTTTTCATTGGTTGTCTTTGCTTTGCTATCAGCTTCCTGATTTTAGTTTTTGGAATAAGATTCTTTTATTTATCGTACATTAAAAAAACAATGCAAGCATCAGGCTTGATTCATTGGGGGACAATGCCATAAGCTAGAAAAACAAATGCAAAAACTTTAAACATATTCATCACAATACTATTAAATTATTCTCACCCAGAACATCTCTTCCAGCAATAGCTACAAACCATGGCAATTAGCTAGAGCAGAACATCTTTCACAAGGTTTATAAGGAAGGAGACCTCCTTGACTTGGACAAACACTCGTCTATAAGAAACACCCAAATTTTCAACCATTCGGCTGTTTATTTCATTAATAACTGCATAGCAGAAGATGCCAGTGCCTCAGACAAACTGATCAAGGTACTCTTCCACAGTGGTATATTTGACATCGGGATATAGCTCAGAGGCCTCAAACCCCCATGATGGGTCAATCTCAAAGTTGGTCATGTCACCTTTAACAAGGGCTGAGTGGTTGATTGACAGAACAACATTAATCGGAATCGGAGACTCTGCAAGAATGAAAGAAAAAACAGATGAAATATACCAACAACATGATTTCCTTCACTTCGTTTATAATTTGCACTTGGTCCTATGATCGGTGCACATCAAGAATCTGATAGAAAGAAATAGTGCTAGCATTGACATTCTGTTTTATGGAAGAGGGTTTCACTGACCTTGGATGTCCTTCAGAAGTTTCTCTTCGGGAACAAAGGTTTTTTCGAGGGTTTTGCCAATCTTTTTCTCCCATAGAGCAATAAGCTCATTGAATGAGTATGTGTTTTTAGGAGGCTTGATAAGGACAGTCTTGTTCAAGGTTCTTGCATCATCCACAGCTTTGATGGTGTAGGTTCCAATGTCATCTTCCTTATTGAAAACCACTGTTGAGCAAATAAATGTCAAAACTATGAGGCTAATTCATTTTCCAACTCATATTTAACAGAGAGAGTTAATAACATCATATTGTTTATTACCCTTGGCATTGCCATCTCCGAGGATGGTGATCTTGTCTCTCGGAGGAGCAGTAAGTCCAAACTGTACCAATGTGGGGAGATAATATGCCGCAAAGAAGTTGGAAGGCACATAAGTGTAGGGAATCCCCGCAGCCTCGATGGCACGTCGAATCTGAGCCTTCATTGCAAATGCACTTTTTGCAGGCTCAACAGCATTGACATGATCCACATCCATTCCAAATTCGGAAGGGAAGAATCTCTGAACGAAACACACAAAAAAGATTCAATTATTATTATTAAAATTCCATGTCTCCTTGATGATTCTCTTAGACAAATTGAGAAAAACAGCAAGATAAATAAAATAATCACCCTCATGGTATATAGAAGTTGATATTGTTAGACTGCAGCAGAACACTGCAACATTTACAGCCAGTTTAACATTGAGGTTGAATCTATTTTTTATTAAAAAAAAATAAAAATTATTTTAAAGCTTTTAGATTGTTTTCACGTATTGATGTCAAAAATAAAAAGAAATATTATTTTAATACATTTATTAATACCGAACTCTCCAAATAATTTTGTACAACTTTCCAAACTCATCAAGTACCTGTTTGCTTATTCATTGAGAGGAAAAGATAAGATTTCGCAAAGAGAACTGCCATATTCTGTAACAAATCTCCTTTTCCAGGTTCCATTTAATATTAATTAGAAGTTTTGATTCTGACAAGTATAGCAGTGAGATTAAGCACGATCTTCGGCAAACATCAAAAATATCCCCCAGCTATATATATGCTCTCAATTTTACCCCCAAACAAATGTTTATATCAATTTTTTCCCCATTCAGAATTTATTTAGTTTTTTTTCAGATTTGATCATGAATTCAGAAGAAATGGTTTTTTTGTATGGAAATTTACTTTTTATGTTGAGGAATTATAATAGAATACCCCATTGAAAAATATAAATTGTTTGGGCATAGAATTCTTACAGGAGACTGTATGGGGGCAACATTGATACTAATCTAATGTTGGGGGCACTTTTGAGGTTTGCCCTTTTTCCTTTATAAACAAGCATGGACGAACAGAGTGAGCTCGATTGATTTACCATTAACGCAAAGATCTCAATGTCGCAGTCCTGAATGTTAGATTCAATGGGATAACTTGATAAGAAACAGAAGAAAGATTTATGATCATGGACGAACCTTGACATTGCCAGCTTCTTTAATGGCGGCAATAATCTTGGTTTGATCTGCTATTTGCATGCTCCCAATCGCTGATATCACCACATCCACCTGCTTGATTGCCTTCACCAAATTGTCATGGCCGTCGATATCTCCCTGCAAATTCCCCACAATATGACACAATCAATACAGTTTGTTTATTGAAAAGGCAAGAAAACAAAACCATGAAAACATGGCAGAGGAGGTTTAAGCAGCTACATGGATCAAAGTGACGCCTAAGTTCTTGAATTTCTCGACAAGTTCTCGTTTGACAGGATCAGAGACTGTACTCTCTCTAACCAAGGCGAAAGTGGGGTGACCGGCCTTGGCGCTTGCCTCCACGATGAATTTTCCTATGTAACCAGTGCCTCCAATGATCAAGATCTTGCTTTTATCAGCCATTGTAGAGGAATTTTCTTGCCGAAAGAAACCAAGGAAGTTTAACAAGGAGAGGAGAGCGACGTTCTGTTGGAGCAAGGATGCGTGCACAATTTATGGACAGAAGGATGTAATTTGCTAAGATAATAAAGGGATAATGGTAATTAACTAATTATTTTCTTTTGCTAATTAACTCCGTGTATTCTCATGTTATATGTGGTTGGTGTGAGGGAATAGAAATAGCCTGTATAAAAAACAAAAAATATGCTTGGCTAAAATATATATATATACATATATATATATAAAAGTTATTTTCAAGTCTATTTCACCTTGCACCTAAATTATCCATCATTATCATTGAATCCATGAAGAAAAAAAATCCAACAAACCTCCTCTGAATTTATTGAAGAAAAACTCGTGATCAGACGTATGAAGTGGGGAGCAAAACACACTAATTGAACCAGTTTCTCATGGATGACGATGGGATCGGTATTTTTATTTTTATTTTTATTTTAATAATGAGGGTTACGAAGAAAATGGATCTAATCAGAAACCTTAATCTGGCGGGAAGCGATTTGTTGGGCAGTCGCTTCTTATTTTCGGTGGGGGCATTGATGAGTGATTTGCTAACTTATAGGGCTGAGAGCACAGATTAGTAGTTATCGTTCGAGAAATTTGGTGAACATTGCCGTTTTGTGGGAAAGATTCAAGAATTTTGTGCGATGGTAGGTGTAAGATGTTACCATTCCCCCTCTCTATGATAGGTTGAGCAGAAAGTTTAGAGGAATTTCTCAAGTGGAGGGTGTGGATTGTTTGAACGCCTCTTTACGGCCATAATTATAGGACCCCGATCAATTGCTTTGCAAGGGTGTTTTTTTGGAAATTGATTGAAATTGTGGTTTTTAAAATTTAATTTTTTTAAAAAAGATTTAAATTATTTTATTATATTAATATCAAAAATAATTTTTAAAAATAGATCTTTAAGAGGAAAATAAGAATCCAATCTTATGACTAAAATCGTTATCAGAAAAGGGTGCTGTTTGTTTCCCTATCGTGGTGAGGGCCAATGAATGGCGACATCATGATTGTCGCGTGAAGTTAAAGAAAACATAATTCTGCTTATTTCTTGCATTCAACTGCTTCCAGCTTGTTTGAAATTTGTAATAATAAAGTAATTTAAAGTATTTTTTATTTAGAAATATATTAATATATTTTTTATTTTTAAAAAATTATTTTTAACAATAATACATAAAAAAATATAAAAATATATATAAAAAAATTTAAATAAAAGAATTTAAAATTTTTAAAAACACAGTGCAAAACACATTTAAGGATGCTGTGGTTTAAGTAAAAAATGCTTTTCATTTTCAAATTTATTAGGTAATATGGTAACGTCTTTTGAGTGAAAAAAGCTTGTTATATTCAACATCGTTTGGAGTTGTAATAATGATTTTTTTAAAAAACATTTATTTAAAATATATTAAAATAATTTTTTTTATTTTTTAAAATTTATTTATTTTTAATATTAGTAAATTAAAATAATTATAAAACATAAAAAAAAATTAAAAAAAAATTCTCATAAAATATCATTTGAGATGCAATATAAACAGTTCTCGTGAAATAATTAAGAAACCGTTTGTTTACGCGTTAAAAGTTGCGTTTAAAATAAAACATAGGAGGAAAGTGTTTGGTAAAGAAAAAACTACTAATTACTATTCATGAACCCCATTAATTTCCGTGTTTGAAACGCATGATTGAAAGAAGCAGCTGAAAGCTACTTTTCTTGCACCGTTCATGCAATTATATTGTTCAATAAACCGTGTAATTAACATTAACAGTGTACATGAGTACATTGTTCATGTGAACAATGTAAAAAAATTGTACTGTTTACTTGCATTGTATTTTTTTTAAGTGTGGTAAGTTTTTTAATATTTTTTTTAAATTAGTTTAGAATGAATTTTATACTTGATAATTCTAATTTTATTATACACTATAAAAATTATAGCAACTATAATTCTTGTTAGATTTATTTTATATGTGATGAAATTGTAGATAGTTTTATGAATTAATAAAAAAAAATATTAAGTATGATTTATTTTATGATGTAATAATAATAGTTAAATTCACAATATTTAAATTAAAAATTATTAATATTAATATATATTTTTAAAAATTATTTTATAACCTTAATTTCAAAGCATTTTTAACCAAACACACTAAATTATTTTTTGTTTAACCTCAATTTCAACCACAGTTTTAACTAAACACTTATTTTTTCAAACCAATCTCAATTAAAAATATTTTTTATAAAATATTTTTTTTCAAATCACAACTATCACAATATTAAACATATATTAAACATATTCTAAGTGATTAGCCGCTTATTCTCTTCTTTATCGACAGGATAACAATAATTACCAACATGATATAAATAAATGAATGAATGAAGGACAGTAACCCATTTATTAAAAAAGCCCGGGTTAACTCACTGGAGGCTTCCATGGTCATTAACTTCAGGGCCCGTGGGATTAGTCGTGGTGCGCACAAGCTGGCCCGGACACCCACATTAATCTAAAAAAAAAAAACCCAGGTTAACTCATAGAACTACGAGTTAACCACACCCAACTCATCGCCTGAGGTCACAGTAGAGAGCAGGATTTATAACTATGACACTGGTTTCGCTGGATTTATTTTTTATCGCTTTCTTGGTGGTTGTGTAAATGGTAGCCCATAAAGCCCAGCAACAAGAGACCTTCCTTTGAAAAACCGGCCCATTAAAAACCTTCACAATTAGCCCAAGCTCGGGGGCTCCTGGGCTCCGTTTCTTTCGTGAACTCATAATGCTCCAGAAGGCCCAGTCCACCCTGAACTGATATAAATTGACCGAATAATGAGTCATTAATGTTTCAGGACTGATTTGTTTTTTTTCCCATTTCCTTTCATTATATAACTGATCATTCTCAAAAGGCTTGTTATATAATTGATGCCAAGGTAGGGTCGATGTTCCTATTAAACATTGCATAGCTTGATTCCAGCTCTGATTCTACATGGTACGAGACTAAAACAATTTTTTTTAAAAAAAAATTTCCATTAACATCTATCACAAACAAAAAATAAAATAATTTTTTTGGCAAAAACAAACACTGTTCGAATCACAGATACAGAATAGCAGGATACAAACTGCACAATTTCACTTTATTTCTCATGAAGGCCTTTTCAAACCATCTGGATTAACTGGGGGAACAACAACAAAGATAAAAGCCTGGTGTAGTAAATAGAGCACCAAGTTATACAAGTCAATGTCTTGATGGCCAACAATCCTACACTCTTAATAATTTATACAGATGATCAAGTGGCCAGAAAAGAGGACAAAATCCACTCATCACATTCAACTTCTCCATATTCACAGCATCTTACAAAGGTGGTAGCTTAGCTTTTCTAGTAAATCCATGCAGTGTATAGGAAGCTAGGAGGCCATCACACAGCACTGGTTCCACTGTTGGATTTTGAGGTGGCGAGACTGGCGATGTGAAACTGTGGCGAGTAATTGTTGGAGGAACGTTCCAGTTCTGGTGTTTCATTTAGAAATGCCCAGACGCTACTTGCCCACCTGCAACAACAATGGCTTGATTAGGATGTACATGCTAGATTAAACCATACAAGACTCTGATCTAATGGCCATAACGGGGTAAGATGCTTAGGATTTTTGGCTTAATTAATTACCAGCCATTTTTCTTAATGAGTTGCTCCAGACTTGGTTCAATTTCCGAGTCCATGAACTCCTCTGTATCGGCTGGAGAGCTTGGTCTCTGAAACTTTAGTCCATCTTCGTACATGCCATCCTGTAACATACATGACATGATCATGTAAGTGAAGATTCAGAGTATTCATGCAAAAAGAAGCGTGCCCACGAAAAAAGATTATAACTAAGTGAAAATGTTGTAGAAATTAGACCTGGTTGCAATTTGATGGTCTAGATAAAACTTTGAGATGATCCTCCTCTGTTTTCTTCTTCGATTTCCAGTAAGCATCAATGTCTCCTTTAGTTTGTGACCTATTCCTTTGATATTTCACTGCACAAGGAACCACGGGTCACATAATCAAGCCAAATCGAGTAACCAAAAAAAAAAAAAAAAAACCCCGAAAGCTCCATGTGTGTATCATGGCACGGATTGAAATGAATGCCAAGAATATTTACCTGACTCACGATCAGGGACAGGTGAGTCCCAACCAGACATTAAAGAACCCATTTGTTCAAAACCTTTTAATCAAAGCACTAAGCGAGAGCGTGTGTCTTACCGATCTTGTGATAATGATGATCTTTTATCCTATATATACTGCTGATGTGCGGGGGGGTCTCACGTCTTATCCTTTTTTTGTTCTTATCCTTCGCTTGCTCGCCAATATTCGTGCAATGCAATGTCTATCTACAGAGCCCTGTTTTTTCATATAAAATAATTTAAAAAAAAAACAATTATGTTTAAATATTTTTTGTTTTTTTTATTATTAAAAAAATTAATTAATGAAAATATTTTTTATTAGAAAAAATTTATTTTTTTTTAAATTATTTTTTTAGCTGGAAAAACTTCTTAAAAATTGTAAACAAATAAAAAATATATTATTATTTATTAATACTATGAAATTTGGTCTGGAATTTTTTAATTACTATGTATTTTGTTTTAAATTTATTTTTAAATTTTATCTTTTAAAATCTGATTTAATTTTATTTTCATACCAATTTTTATTTTTTGATTGCTATTTATTTTTTATTTTTTATTTTTTTTAAATTAATTCATTTTTTCATTCTTTAATTTTTTTATTTTTCATATTTGATACTTATTTTTTCTATTAAACTAACAGATATTAAAAAACAATTCATGAATATACTTTCCGTAAGAATTACTCTTAAAAAAAAATCTATTTTTCTATAAATAAATGGGACAGTTTGATTCGTAACTTAACCTAAAAAGGATTCGGGGTCAAGAATAAGGTTATTTAACAATCGAAATATGTTGTTTTTATTTAAAATTATTTTTTTTAAATTCACTTATCTTGATTTGATCAATGTTAAATCAAGTTTATTTATGTCAATCAAACAAAACTT